CCCCCGCCCCCGAGCCCCAGCGAGTCCTCCAGACTTTTAACTTGTAGCTCCCTCTCCTGCTCACCTTATTACTTGGCGTAGCCCAGAGGGGCAGCTCCGATGACAGAATCACAGGCCCCCCAGCCTGCTGCCCCGGCGCCCGCGTTTCGGAAAGACCCCCAGGCAGCTCTCCAGCACCGGCCGAGAAGCCTGCAAGGAGCAGAAGCGAGAAGACTTTGCTTGAAAGTGGGGCCCACGGCTTCCACAGCCTCCGCTGACATCCTTCTGAAAGGACTGGCTTCAGGGGCCGCTGGCAGGGGGACTTGACACCTATTACCTCCCTGAGGCTTCATCTCTAGACGGGAGGGAGGTGGACCTTCCACTCCAGTGGCATACACATGCGGCAATCTGAATACTTTGTAGCTTTTTGAAGGACCAAACTCCTACCTAGCTTGACCAACTCTCTCCGAAACTTAGCCCGGCGCGCTCCGGATGCTGAGGTGTGCGACCCCATCCCCGTGTGGGACAGACTGCCGTGCGCCCCTGCACCCAGCACGCCAGGAGACTGCCAGGACCTGGGCTGCTGCTACAGCTCTGAGGGGAGCGCCTGTTACTATGGAAACACAGGTGCGTGCCCGCATCCCCGCAGCCTGCTGAAGGGAGGCGCCGACTGCCTGCACCTGAACCCGGAGCAGGGCGACCCCACCCCATCCCCGCCCCCACCTCCACCCCCTCCCCCTCGGGACGCAGACACGAAAGATGACGGTGACCAGAGGCTGATGCGTAGGCAGTGCACCCTGGACCCCGTGACCTTCAGTGACAGCCCTCTCTTGTCTGAGTGAGTGACAGTGATCCCGAGCTAAGTCTCCGTGCAGGATACTAGGTCGCTGACTGGGCACTAGACCCCTGGTGGCTGGTGGTCTAAGCGTCTAGAGCCTGGTTATGAAAGACTTTCTGCGCGTCCCCAACCAAGCTCTGCGGCTTTGATGCAAAAGACCCCCAGTGAGTGAGCACATGCCAGCCTCTGTCCCTAACTCCGACACACACAGCAGGCAGCGTCCCCACTTATAGAGAAGCAGAGGCAAGGAGGTGGGGGAGGGGCACAAAGTGGTGGCAGCAAGATTCAAACCCGGCGCTCGGCCAGGGCCCGATGAAGCCCTGGGTGGCCGACCCGGGCCGGCCGCGGCTGGGAAGTCTGTCTTCTCGGACGCAGGGATCAGGAACAACTCGATCCCTAGACTTGGTCTCGCTGGCCCAACGACAGATGTCGGCCCTTAGCACAGCCCTCTGCTGTTCCAGTGACCTCACGCTGCACGCAGGACGGCCACTTCCACATCGCCGTGTCCCGGAACGTGACCCTGCCCCCGCTGCTCCTGACCTCTGTGCACCTGGCCTTCAGGAATGACAGCGGCTGTGACCCCACGACGGCGACACACGCTTTTGTCCTGTTCCGGTTTCCGTTTACTTCCTGTGGCACCACAAGACGGGTGAGAATAGCCGACCTTCTGCTCGGCTCCTGACTCCAGGAGCCGGGCAGGAATGTCCCAGTGATGGGGGACAGGTGAACTATCTCATCTGTGGACGATACACCTGACGACGGCTCGGTGTGTGGCGTGGTCTCTAGGACAGCAAAGAGCCTTGTCACTGAGGCTCGGGCCACCACAGCTGTGCTCCAGCAGGGGGCCGGCACTTCTCCCGAGCTGTGGGTGAGAAAAAGTGACAGCTTCCTGTCCCCAGTCTGCCCTGGGAAACGAGCCAGGCTGCACCTGAGGTGGGCGGTGGCTTTCCCGGCTGCCTCATCTGAACACTCAGAGCCCCTTCCTTTCCTCGGTCCCGGAACAAGGGGACGTGATAACGTCCCAGTCAGTCAGTGGCCTCTGCCTTTGCCTCTGCTCATGAGCAGAGGATGCAGCACGATGCGGGGCAGTTCTGAGGGAGGCAGCTCCGGCGCGCAGGAGTGACGGGGACTCTCGTCCGGCGTTTGCAGGTCACTGCAGACCGGGCGGTGTACGAGAACGAGCTAGTCGCAGCGAGGGACGTGGCCACCTGGAGCCACGGCTCTATCACCCGCGACAGCATCTTCAGGTGAGGCCTTGGTTAAGCTGCCTGACGGGATGACATCCCTTCTCCCACGCGGCAGGAGGCCGCAGGCGAGCCGAGTCCGCGGGACGCCCGTCGTGGTGACGGAAGCCGTCTGCCCAGAGGTCCGACCTCGCGGCCTCATCTCCTTGCCTCGATGGCACCTGGATCCGGCCTCAGACTCACCTGAACTATTTCCCTTAACTGTTACCTATTTCCCATTTTGGCCTCTTCCCTTCTACCTCCACTGTCCGTGCCGTGGCCAAAAGAATCCCTTCGAAGGCTTAGATCAGACAGTGTACTTGTCACTAAGACAGAGCTCTAACGTGACGTCGTCGGTGTCTCGGGTGACACTCCGTCCCCCACTCACTGGTCTGCAGCTCCGGACTGCCCCGCGGAGCCTTCGAACAGTCTCAGACTGTGTGGTTCTGATGTCTTCAACTCTGAAATACTGATCCACTTACATACCGGTCTCCCCAGCTGAAATGAGCTGCCACAAAGCCCGGAGCCACGCCCGTCACGTTCACACACTTGTCTCACACCCAGCCCTTAACGGTTCCCCAGACCTTCAACAAAAGGTGACATGACCCAGCCACTCAAGCTAACGTCTCGTTCTCCGCAGGCTCCGAGTCAGCTGCAGCTACTCCGTGAGCAGCAACGCCCTCCCGGTTGATGTTCGGGTGTTGACTCTCCCGCCCCCCCTTCCTGAGACACAGCCCGGACCCCTCACTCTGGAGCTCCGGCTGGCCAAAGGTAAGAGCACCTGACCGGAGCGTCTGGCCTGCAGGTGAGTCCTGTGGCTCCGGGCCCGAGGCCCTGCCTGGGTAACAGGCCGCTTGGCCGGGGGATTCCTGTGGGCGGGTCCCCAAGACGTCCTCTTGCAGACGAGAACTACAGCTCCTACTACGGCGCCGGCGACTACCCCGTGGTGAAGCTGCTCCGGGAGCCCGTCTACGTGGAGGTCTCCGCCCGTCACAGAGCCGACCCCGGGCTGGGGCTGCTGCTCCGCCACTGCTGGGCCACGCCCGGCCCAGACCCGCTGCAGCGGCCACAGTGGTCCTTGCTGGTGAAGGGGTGAGTGGCCATCCATGCGTCCGTGGTACAGTCCCTGGGGAGCCGTCTTGACTGCCGGGTGTCTTTGCTTAGATGTCCCTACACTGGCGACAACTACCGAACCCGGCTGATCGCGGTCCAGACAGCCTCGGGCCCGCCCTTCCCGGCCCCGCACCAGCGCTTCAGCATCCTCACCTTCAGCTTCGTGGACCCGGCGGCCAGCCAGGCCCTCGGGGGACCGGTACGCCTCCCTCGGCGGGGCTCAGGGCGGCTTCCACGCCCCAGCCGAGGCTGGCCTCAGTGTTGGCCGCTGGTGCCGCCTCAGCGATTCTCGATGTCAGTGCCGTGAGTGGCGCTTGTCAACCAGGCTCTAGCTCTTCAGTGCTGCCATGATGCCGGCTTGGGCCGCCGAGGCTTTCTCGCGACCTCCTGGGGACATAAAGTGGGTTTGGAGCCCTCCCTTATGATGGGGTGCTACGCCATGACCCTAACTCTCTGGCTCGCAGGTGTACCTGCACTGCAGTGTGTCAGTCTGCCAGCCTGCGGGGACACCGTCCTGTAGGCTGACCTGTCCTGCCAGGCGTGAGTATCCACGTGTCCACAGCAGAGAAAAGACTTGAGCCTGAGTCCCTCCCCCCTGCATGCAGATGATCAGACGGAAGATTCGGCTCGTTAACGGGGCTTCTTTAAGCACCTTTATGATGTAGCCTAGGAGGGCATCTCACTTCCTAGACTCCTGGGCCTTTCAAATCTCAGTTATAAATCCTCAAGTAACTCTCAGCCTTAGCCTTTTCCACATAAAGTTTCATCAAACCAGGATTCAGACTGGTTCATGGCCTACATGTGGCTGATTTAACAAGACACTTCTATGTGGCTCATTCACAGGTGCGGACTCCTCCACCCGCTTGAAGTGGGGTTTAGCAGGGAGCTCCAAAAACCTGCAGGTGGGGGTGACTGAGGCCAGAGTGTGCGCTCTGGCCTGTGAGGCCCGAGTCTCGCGCACGCACTGACACCTGGGCCACTAACATTTCCTCGTCTAGACCCTGAATTAATTGGATTCATGACCCCTGAAGCTTTAACTCCCTTCTAGCAAAATCAAAAACTCTCATCATAATAGGGAGCTATGAAAAATACTACATTAAGTATTAAACGTCTAACTCCAGTGATATATAATCTATATACTTCTAAAGAACGAAAACAAATTTGGATTAACCTTTCTAAGGTCTCATAACTGGCAAAAGAAACAGAATTCAAACAGCTCAGCTGTTACTGAGGACCAGTTTCCTCTGCTTCACAGCAAAGGGTCTCGGCATCGACATGCTGTTTAAGCTCCTGCCGGGGGAGCGTGGCAGTTCAGGGGTACACTAACATCACGATCTCCATCCCCAAGTTCTGGTGAAGCTGCAGTGACAGATACAAATCTGGATCGACACGCTGAGGAGTTTTTCTTAACGCACGGATAGATCTGTACATGTCGAGGGACCTAGCCGTGTATCAGACTCGCTTCCTGACCCCCCACCCACCATGTGCAAAAAAATAAATAACCCTCGCTCTCGTCTGACAGGAAGAAGAAGCTCTGACATCCGTTCCCACAACAGCACTGCAAGCATCTCCAGCAGGGGTCCCATGATTCTACTCCAAGACATGAAGGATGCTTCGGAAAAGCTTCGTAAATACTCACGTGAGTAGAAGTAGACCTAACTAGCCACCTAAACCACTAG